CTGTAATCTGTTAATCCACATGATTGCTGTAACATTACAATGTCCGTCTCTCATGTTCTCTCTACTTGCTCTGAATCGATCTTTGTATTCTGACTGTTTTTCATTGCTGCTACTTTTTAAGATCTGGTTTTAATTTTTCCTTTCTTTCTTTTCTCCTTCCCCCTTTCTCCCCTCTCTTTTTTTCTTTTTATTTCTTCTCTTTGTTGTGTCCACTTTCTCTCTTTATGTTTCTTTTTCTTTACTTTTTCCTCTTGGTTATTTTGCAACTGTGACACCGGCACATTCACCTGTTGTCATAACTGGTACTTGTCCTTCCCACACATCCCACACCCGTACCTACCTCCTGTCCTCTTCACCTGGGTGCGTGCGTGTATGTGTTTATGTATGTATGTCTGTACATGTCCTAAAGTGTCCCAGCGGAGGCACGTAGCCGACTGCTCCTGAAATGCTCCAAGTGTGGCGTGATCTCAAGCACCGCTATGTCCAACTCGACTGCCAGCAGCGCCATGTTAGTCCATCTTCACCTCTCTCTCTCTTTCTCTCCATTACCCTCACTCTCCTACATCTTTTGTAATCTCTGGCTTTCAGTTATGATGCAGGATCTGGCTAAGTAATGAAAGGAAAAACACCTGCTCTACTATCGCTGCAATTTAATGAGATCATGTTTTCATCCAAAGTGGTATTTCCTCTGGTTGCACTAAGCAAATCTGACCCCTGTCAAGCTATATTTGTGAACCATATTTGGAAGTTTGTTTTAATCATGTTTGTGTTACGAAATGTTCAGAAAGGTTGTTAATGAAGCAAACTATTTGGGTAGTGTACTTGCATAAACGTGGATTTCATATTAACCAGATCAAGTAAATATTCACAGTAACACACGTAATATCACGTACATGTGAGAAAAAGGAAAACCTGACTCCAAGTTTAGTGATATAAGTTTAGTGGTGTATGTGTTTAATAAGGTGTCATTCTTATTATAATGACAAAAAAGAGATTTCTCTCTGTGAACACATAAGCCCCACCCACCTTCTGCTTTTAATGGGCAGGCCAATCAGAAACAAACAAAAAAAGTTGATTTAAACAGATGAAGAAGAGTTAAAACGGCTTGTTTAAAACTATTTGTGAGCTGAGGGGCTGCACAA